ATGCAACTTCTGTAAAAATCGTAAAAATCCGGCCACAAATATGAAAGATAGCGTTGCACATGGGCAATCCATTGTTGACGTGCTACTTCAATTTCAGTTTATGAGAAGAATTTCATTTCAATGCTTTTCTAAATAAGAAAGTTGGAACTGCGCATGCGCAAACCTAAATTTTAAAACTAATTTACTATAACTAACTAATAAACTAAGATTTTCCTTTGTTCCAAGCGCCTAAGTATCAAATTTCACTTAAATAGTTCCATAGATAAAAAGGTTGGCACGGCGCATGCGCAAAATAAAATTTTGAAACTGGCGCTAGATTTTCCTTTATTCCAAGTGCCTATGTATCACATTTCATTTAAATTCTTCCATAAATAAAAAAGTTGGCACTGCGCATGCGCAAAACCAAATTTTGAAATTGGCGTTTGATTTTCCTTTATCCCAAGTGCCTATGTATCAAATTTCGTTTAAATTCTTCCATAAATAAAAAAGTTGCCACTGCGCATGCGCAAAACCAAATTTTGAAATTGGCGTTTGATTTTCCTTTATTCCAAGTGCCTATGTATCAAATTTCATTCAAATACTTTTATAAGTAAAAAAAGTTTGCAATTCGGTTTATAAATGGTCGAGATGCGAAAAGGGCACTGTGAATTTTGAATCGATTCGATCCAACTTTTGGCATTGCGTATTATATGGCTAAAGCTATGCCCATATTGAATTTCATGCAATTCAGTTCATAACTAACGGAGATGTAAAAGCGATCGAACATTTCTAAACAAAGTTATCGTTCACACGGACAGATAGATGGACAGACAGACAAAGGAACAGACGGAGAGACCAACCGGCAGGCGACAGATAGCAATGCAAAATTATAAACGATCTCTAGGATCGTTAATAAACGGCAAAAGTGTAAAATTATGGAACATGTAAAAAACGGTTTTTTGTTTTTTTTACAATAACTTTTTTTGTAAGCGGTACAGAAAAAATTCCTTCCTTGGTACAAGACTCGACACCATAACGAACCAAATAGCGAAAAAAGTAGAACAATAGCTCTTAAGATAAAAAACTAGTAGCGTCGCAAAGTTAGCGGACGGACGGACGGACGGACGGACGGACAAAGTGGCCACAATAGCGCATTTTTTTTTATTTTTGTGGAAATGCGCTAAAAACTAGACAGGGATGGCCCAATGTATGCCGAATTCTCTCTTCGCTTACTCGGCTTTCCTAGACGCAGCCTTAGATGGCCAATTTTGAGGTGTTTTTCGTTTAATCAATATATCAATGCTGAGTGGGTCAGAGACGAGTACGACATAAATCGCGAAAGTAATAAGCACAAATCGGCGGAACCGACCGAACGTAAATTTACGGCAAAGCTAAAAATGTCGGTACTTAGAAAATGCAAAACTCAAAATATTTTCATACGATACGATTTCTCAAAAGTTAGCTCGATAAATTTTATACTGGGTTTTCTATTTATCTAAACGTCCATTTCGAGTAGGGACAAACTAGAATTCCCGCCTCGCACGCTTATACACAATACTCCTTTCCCCGAAATCGGAAAAATATGGGACCGTTGTCAAACTTCAATTCTTTTAAGAGCGCACCCAACGGAAATAATCTCAACTTCATCGGAGGTTGTTATCTGTAACCCACTTAAGAAATTACGGTTAATTACACTTATCCTAATAGTCGGAATGAAATCCAAACTCGGTAGTCCAGCAATGCCCTCCTGTTCTTTGGAATGTGGGGCCAAGCGGCGCGATCTGTTATCACGTTGATATTTTCCGGTTTCAATCCTGGATTTTTGATTAATCGGTAATTAACCGACCTAGAAGTTGATAAGAATGATTCTCTTTCTTCCCTAGCAAGAGAGATTGCGGCGGCTGTAAAAAGGATTTATATATTCCTACAGGAACGGTTGCAAAACGGAGAAACTCACTACCAGGCATACATGCGTTATCGGCGGTAGGACAAATAAAGCACACAAAGCTGACCCTATCGTCTACAAGAGCAAATAAGTAAATTCAAAAACTACGGTTTCTTAGTAACGAAGCACCCAACTTAAAACCTTTCTACATACCGGGTGTTCAGCAAAGCTGGTCGGCTCCACAAATATACGGTGTGGTCATAACTTCAAGGGGGGAAACAAGTAACTTCGTTACGATACTTGTGTTAATAATGTACATTCCGGTAGCTCTTTTTAAATACTAGACAGGAGTGAACCGAATTTATGCCGAACTCGCCTTCGGTTCGATAGGAATTCTCAGAAAGACAAATTTGTACTCTTTGAATTTTTTCTCGTATAATAGAGGTCTATACCATAAATCGTTTTTTATACCTGTGTTGGAAATGTATATTCTTGTAGCTCTTTTTATATAGAAGTAATCGGTACTTCAATTAAACGTAGAAATCTCTGAGTTTAGCTGGTTCGCTGGTCTAAAAATCAAATGTTGGGAGAAGTAGTAAATAAATTGGACTGTTATTAGTTGCAAATTCCAAATTTAACGCATTTGACATTTCGTAAACTAATAACAATAGATAAATAAGAATGAAAAATGGCTAGTATTTGTTGAAGTTACCTGTCGCTTCTGTTTTGCAAATACTCATATTTGACCGACGCAATTTGAAAATTCCTTCTGCGCTCCTGTCTCAGAAACAATTTCGTTCGCAGAGTGAAGCGAATTATAAACAAACTCGAAGTGACACTAACTAAATTGAAACCAGACACACGCATCAACATTGTCATTGAAATAGAATCTTCCAAAAGGGCAATAATATTAATGGACACGCCACTCGGCTAAATCCCGAATATTTTGATCACCCGCAATTTATTTTATGACAATATCCAATTTCGGATTATCCGTTGGAGTAAAAGTCGTGTAAAAAAAGCCGAAATTGATGTTCGTAATTAATTCGTTTCGAAAAAGCTTTAATCGCCTTCGATTTTCTCCGGCGAAATGAGTGACATCTGGCGGAAGGTCGCAATAGGATTCTGTCGCTTGGAAAATTACTAACCCGTCAGGTACTTCTCGTTTTTTCGCGTAACTTGCAAGTAATAAGTTTCAAAGACCTTCTCAAATCATGTTCCTCCAATAAAGGTTTCTGTTAGATAAATTGTTGAAGCGTGATGATGAGTCAAAATGAATGTTCTCCTGCTACTTCATTCGCAAATGCCTATTCGCAATTATCCTCTTCCGCATACAGATTTTTCTGTAAACCATTGTGATATTAGCATCACAAAAGCACGAAGAGGTGTAATTGACCAAAGAGCATTTTAGTGTACTATGCTCTCCTGATATCAAAAAGTTGTATTAGTATAACAGAAGATCAAGCAACTCTTGTCGTATTCGCATGTAGTGTTCTTCTGATACAAATTTCTGTTGCCTTATTAGGATCAGGAACGAGCGAGAAGGTGTAAAATATACTCACCGGAAGGCATTTACGTGTATTATGTTCTCCTGCTACTATTAAAGAAAAGTTCTATCAGTGTAGTAAGATTCTTCTTCTGAAATATTACAAGATTCCCTTCAGGCTCCTCAACTGATGTTCTCCTGATACTTCATGTCACTTGCAAAAGCCTATTTATATAGAATGTTCGTGGGCTTTTTCGTATCAGGATCACCTTACATTCCTCTGTATTAGGGTCACAGAACCACTTGTAATCGTAATTACACCATATATTACGTATCCCTTGAAAAAGTTGTTGCATTAGAATCGTCGACGCGATCACACGTATTATGCCTTCCTGATACAAACTTCTCCATGGAAAATTGTTATATTAGAATCACAGAAACATTGTCTTAATGATACAAATTTCGCACTTACATCATAATCTTTCGGAGGTGCTTTAGGACTGAACATTTTAAAGGGAAACGTATCACCGGGGGGTGGGGGCGGGGAGTATAGAATACCCTACATGCATAAGAAATACTTTACCTCCAACTAACATCAGACCTTCATACACTAGGTATGGAATACCCCCCCCCCCCCCCCCACATGAAGGTCTGATCCCAGTTGGAGATAAATAAAGACAACCTATGTATTCCTTTTGCCTGGGGGGGGGGGGCCTTCCATACCACCCAGGCCCCCGGTTTTACATGCTTCCCAAATTGTTTAGTGAACTTTCGAAAGAGCCTTAGACTGAACGTTTTGAGGGTAAACGTACCACCGGGGGGTCTGGGGGATATGGAATACCCCCCCCCCCCCCCCCCCCCCGGTATAAGAAATAGATAATCTTCATCTACCTCCAACTGACATTCCACACCCAGTGCATGAAGGTTTGATGTCAGTTGGAGGTAAATGAAGATTTACTATTCTTTATGTCTGGGGGGTATTCCATACTCCCCACACCCCCCGGTTTTACATGTTTTCCCAAACTTATTAGTTTTCGAGAGAATCTTAGGAATAAACGTTTTGAGGGTAAATGTAAGCGGTTGGGTGTAAATAAAGGTTAACTATTTCATATGCCTAGGTGGTATTCCATATCCCCAAACCCTCCGGTGATACGTTTACCCTCAAAACGTTCACTGCTAAGACTCTTTCGAAATTTCACTAAACAATTTGAACAATTTTTGAATCTTTGGAATTTTTTGAATCTTTGGATTTTGTTGAATATTTTGAATCTTTTGAATTTTTGAATCTTTTGAATCTTTTGAATCTTTTGAATTTTTGAATCTTTTGTATCTTTTGAATCTTTTGAATATTTTGAATCTTTTGAATCTTTTGAATCTTTTGAATCTTTTGAATCTTTTGAATCTTTTGAATCTTTTGAATCTTTTGAATCTTTTGAATCTTTTGAATCTTTTGAATCTGTTGAATCTTTTGAATCCTTTGAATCCTTTGAATCCTTTGAATACTTTGAATCCTTTGAACCCTTTGAATCCTTTGAATCCTTTGAATCCTTTGAATCCTTTGAATCCCTTGAATCCCTTGAATCCCTTGAATCCCTTGAATCCCTTGAATCCCTTGAATCCTTGAATCCTTTGAATCCTTTGAATCCTTTGAATCCTTTGAATCCTTTGAATCCTTTGAATCCTTTGAATCCTTTGAATCCTTTGAATCCTTTGAATCCTTTGAATCCTTTGAATCCTTTGAATCCTTTGAATCCTTTGAATCCTTTGAATCCTTTGAATCCTTTGAATCCGTTGAATCCGTTGAATCCTTTGAATCCTTTGAATCCTTTGAATCCTTTGAATCCTTTGAATCCTTTGAATCCTTTGAATCCTTTGAATCCTTTGAATCCTTTGAATCCTTTGCATCCTTTGAATCCTTTGAATCCTTTGAATCCTTTGAATCCTTTGAATCCTTTGAATCCTTTGAATCCTCTGAATCCTCTGAATCCTCTGAATCCTCTGAATCCTCTGAATCCTCTGAATCCTCTGAATCCTCTGAATCCTCTGAATCCTCTGAATCCTTTGAATCCTTTGAATCCTTTGAATCCTTTGAATCCTTTGAATCCTTTGAATCCTTTGAATCCTTTGAATCCTTTGAATCCTTTGAATCCTTTGAATCCTTTGAATCCTTTGAATCCTTTGAATCCTTTGAATCCTTTGAATCCTTTGAATCCTTTGAATCCTTTGAATCCTTTGAATCCTTTGAATCCTTTGAATCCTTTGAATCCTTTGAATCCTTTGAATCCTTTGAATCCTTTGAATCCTTTGAATCCTTTGAATCCTTTGAATCCTTTGAATCCTTTGAATCCTTTGAATCCTTTGAATCCTTTGAATCCTTTGAATCCTTTGAATCCTTTGAATCCTTTGAATCCTTTGAATCCTTTGAATCCTTTGAATCCTTTGAATCCTTTGAATCCTTTGAATCCTTTGAATCCTTTGAATCCTTTGAATCCTTTGAATCCTTTGAATCCTTTGAATCCTTTGAATCCTTTGAATCCTTTGAATCCTTTGAATCCTTTGAATCCTTTGAATCCTTTGAATCCTTTGAATCCTTTGAATCCTTTGAATCCTTTGAATCCTTTGAATCCTTTGAATCCTTTGAATCCTTTGAATCCTTTGAATCCTTTGAATCCTTTGAATCCTTTGAATCCTTTGAATCCTTTGAATCCTTTGAATCCTTTGAATCCTTTGAATCCTTTGAATCCTTTGAATCCTTTGAATCCTTTGAATCCTTTGAATCCTTTGAATCCTTTGAATCCTTTGAATCCTTTGAATCCTTTGAATCCTTTGAATCCTTTGAATCCTTTGAATCCTTTGAATCCTTTGAATCCTTTGAATCCTTTGAATCCTTTGAATCCTTTGAATCCTTTGAATCCTTTGAATCCTTTGAATCCTTTGAATCCTTTGAATCCTTTGAATCCTTTGAATCCTTTGAATCCTTTGAATCCTTTGAATCCTTTGAATCCTTTGAATCCTTTGAATCCTTTGAATCCTTTGAATCCTTTGAATCCTTTGAATCCTTTGAATCCTTTGAATCCTTTGAATCCTTTGAATCCTTTGAATCCTTTGAATCCTTTGAATCCTTTGAATCCTTTGAATCCTTTGAATCCTTTGAATCCTTTGAATCCTTTGAATCCTTTGAATCCTTTGAATCCTTTGAATCCTTTGAATCCTTTGAATCCTTTGAATCCTTTGAATCCTTTGAATCCTTTGAATCCTTTGAATCCTTTGAATCCTTTGAATCCTTTGAATCCTTTGAATCCTTTGAATCCTTTGAATCCTTTGAATCCTTTGAATCCTTTGAATCCTTTGAATCCTTTGAATCCTTTGAATCCTTTGAATCCTTTGAATCCTTTGAATCCTTTGAATCCTTTGAATCCTTTGAATCCTTTGAATCCTTTGAATCCTTTGAATCCTTTGAATCCTTTGAATCCTTTGAATCCTTTGAATCCTTTGAATCCTTTGAATCCTTTGAATCCTTTGAATCCTTTGAATCCTTTGAATCCTTTGAATCCTTTGAATCCTTTGAATCCTTTGAATCCTTTGAATCCTTTGAATCCTTTGAATCCTTTGAATCCTTTGAATCCTTTGAATCCTTTGAATCCTTTGAATCCTTTGAATCCTTTGAATCCTTTGAATCCTTTGAATCCTTTGAATCCTTTGAATCCTTTGAATCCTTTGAATCCTTTGAATCCTTTGAATCCTTTGAATCCTTTGAATCCTTTGAATCCTTTGAATCCTTTGAATCCTTTGAATCCTTTGAATCCTTTGAATCCTTTGAATCCTTTGAATCCTTTGAATCCTTTGAATCCTTTGAATCCTTTGAATCCTTTGAATCCTTTGAATCCTTTGAATCCTTTGAATCCTTTGAATCCTTTGAATCCTTTGAATCCTTTGAATCCTTTGAATCCTTTGAATCCTTTGAATCCTTTGAATCCTTTGAATCCTTTGAATCCTTTGAATCCTTTGAATCCTTTGAATCCTTTGAATCCTTTGAATCCTTTGAATCCTTTGAATCCTTTGAATCCTTTGAATCCTTTGAATCCTTTGAATCCTTTGAATCCTTTGAATCCTTTGAATCCTTTGAATCCTTTGAATCCTTTGAATCCTTTGAATCCTTTGAATCCTTTGAATCCTTTGAATCCTTTGAATCCTTTGAATCCTTTGAATCCTTTGAATCCTTTGAATCCTTTGAATCCTTTGAATCCTTTGAATCCTTTGAATCCTTTGAATCCTTTGAATCCTTTGAATCCTTTGAATCCTTTGAATCCTTTGAATCCTTTGAATCCTTTGAATCCTTTGAATCCTTTGAATCCTTTGAATCCTTTGAATCCTTTGAATCCTTTGAATCCTTTGAATCCTTTGAATCCTTTGAATCCTTTGAATCCTTTGAATCCTTTGAATCCTTTGAATCCTTTGAATCCTTTGAATCCTTTGAATCCTTTGAATCCTTTGAATCCTTTGAATCCTTTGAATCCTTTGAATCCTTTGAATCCTTTGAATCCTTTGAATCCTTTGAATCCTTTGAATCCTTTGAATCCTTTGAATCCTTTGAATCCTTTGAATCCTTTGAATCCTTTGAATCCTTTGAATCCTTTGAATCCTTTGAATCCTTTGAATCCTTTGAATCCTTTGAATCCTTTGAATCCTTTGAATCCTTTGAATCCTTTGAATCCTTTGAATCCTTTGAATCCTTTGAATCCTTTGAATCCTTTGAATCCTTTGAATCCTTTGAATCCTTTGAATCCTTTGAATCCTTTGAATCCTTTGAATCCTTTGAATCCTTTGAATCCTTTGAATCCTTTGAATCCTTTGAATCCTTTGAATCCTTTGAATCCTTTGAATCCTTTGAATCCTTTGAATCCTTTGAATCCTTTGAATCCTTTGAATCCTTTGAATCCTTTGAATCCTTTGAATCCTTTGAATCCTTTGAATCCTTTGAATCCTTTGAATCCTTTGAATCCTTTGAATCCTTTGAATCCTTTGAATCCTTTGAATCCTTTGAATCCTTTGAATCCTTTGAATCCTTTGAATCCTTTGAATCCTTTGAATCCTTTGAATCCTTTGAATCCTTTGAATCCTTTGAATCCTTTGAATCCTTTGAATCCTTTGAATCCTTTGAATCCTTTGAATCCTTTGAATCCTTTGAATCCTTTGAATCCTTTGAATCCTTTGAATCCTTTGAATCCTTTGAATCCTTTGAATCCTTTGAATCCTTTGAATCCTTTGAATCCTTTGAATCCTTTGAATCCTTTGAATCCTTTGAATCCTTTGAATCCTTTGAATCCTTTGAATCCTTTGAATCCTTTGAATCCTTTGAATCCTTTGAATCCTTTGAATCCTTTGAATCCTTTGAATCCTTTGAATCCTTTGAATCCTTTGAATCCTTTGAATCCTTTGAATCCTTTGAATCCTTTGAATCCTTTGAATCCTTTGAATCCTTTGAATCCTTTGAATCCTTTGAATCCTTTGAATCCTTTGAATCCTTTGAATCCTTTGAATCCTTTGAATCCTTTGAATCCTTTGAATCCTTTGAATCCTTTGAATCCTTTGAATCCTTTGAATCCTTTGAATCCTTTGAATCCTTTGAATCCTTTGAATCCTTTGAATCCTTTGAATCCTTTGAATCCTTTGAATCCTTTGAATCCTTTGAATCCTTTGAATCCTTTGAATCCTTTGAATCCTTTGAATCCTTTGAATCCTTTGAATCCTTTGAATCCTTTGAATCCTTTGAATCCTTTGAATCCTTTGAATCCTTTGAATCCTTTGAATCCTTTGAATCCTTTGAATCCTTTGAATCCTTTGAATCCTTTGAATCCTTTGAATCCTTTGAATCCTTTGAATCCTTTGAATCCTTTGAATCCTTTGAATCCTTTGAATCCTTTGAATCCTTTGAATCCTTTGAATCCTTTGAATCCTTTGAATCCTTTGAATCCTTTGAATCCTTTGAATCCTTTGAATCCTTTGAATCCTTTGAATCCTTTGAATCCTTTGAATCCTTTGAATCCTTTGAATCCTTTGAATCCTTTGAATCCTTTGAATCCTTTGAATCCTTTGAATCCTTTGAATCCTTTGAATCCTTTGAATCCTTTGAATCCTTTGAATCCTTTGAATCCTTTGAATCCTTTGAATCCTTTGAATCCTTTGAATCCTTTGAATCCTTTGAATCCTTTGAATCCTTTGAATCCTTTGAATCCTTTGAATCCTTTGAATCCTTTGAATCCTTTGAATCCTTTGAATCCTTTGAATCCTTTGAATCCTTTGAATCCTTTGAATCCTTTGAATCCTTTGAATCCTTTGAATCCTTTGAATCCTTTGAATCCTTTGAATCCTTTGAATCCTTTGAATCCTTTGAATCCTTTGAATCCTTTGAATCCTTTGAATCCTTTGAATCCTTTGAATCCTTTGAATCCTTTGAATCCTTTGAATCCTTTGAATCCTTTGAATCCTTTGAATCCTTTGAATCCTTTGAATCCTTTGAATCCTTTGAATCCTTTGAATCCTTTGAATCCTTTGAATCCTTTGAATCCTTTGAATCCTTTGAATCCTTTGAATCCTTTGAATCCTTTGAATCCTTTGAATCCTTTGAATCCTTTGAATCCTTTGAATCCTTTGAATCCTTTGAATCCTTTGAATCCTTTGAATCCTTTGAATCCTTTGAATCCTTTGAATCCTTTGAATCCTTTGAATCCTTTGAATCCTTTGAATCCTTTGAATCCTTTGAATCCTTTGAATCCTTTGAATCCTTTGAATCCTTTGAATCCTTTGAATCCTTTGAATCCTTTGAATCCTTTGAATCCTTTGAATCCTTTGAATCCTTTGAATCCTTTGAATCCTTTGAATCCTTTGAATCCTTTGAATCCTTTGAATCCTTTGAATCCTTTGAATCCTTTGAATCCTTTGAATCCTTTGAATCCTTTGAATCCTTNTTTTGAATCTTTTGAATCTTTTGAATCTTTTGAATCTTTTGAATATTTTGAATCTTTCGAATTTTTGATTATTTTGAAATTTTTTAATCTTTTGAAATTTTTGAATCTCTGGAATCTCTTGAATCTCTTGAATTTCTTGAATCTTTTATATCTCTTGAATCTTTTGAATTCCTTGAATCTCGTGAATTACCTATTTGATTCTTTTGCATTATTTGAATCTAGTTTTTTTTTATCTTTTGAATTTTTTGGATCTTTTGGATCTCTTAGATCTGTTGGATTTTTGGATCTTTTGGACCTTTTGAATCTCTTGAATCTCTAGAATGTTTTGAATCTCACGAATCTCTTGAATCTCGTGAATCTTTTGAATTATTTGAATCTTTTGCATTATTTGAATCTATTGAATCTTTTTGATCTTTTGAATTTTTTGGATCTTTTGGATCTTTTAGATTTTTTGGATCTTTTTGATTTTTTGAACCTTTTGAAACTTTTGGACCTTTTGAATCTTTTGAATTTTTGAATCTTTTGAATCTCTTGAATCTCTTGAAACTTTAATCTCGAATCTATTGAATCTCTTGAATCTTTTGAATTCCTTGACTCTCTTGAATTATTTGAATCTTTTGCATTATTTGAATTTATTGAATCTTTTTGATGTTTTAAATTTTTTGGATCCTTTGGGTCTTTTAGATTTTTGGATGTTTGCATCTTTTACATCGTTTGAATCTTTTGAATCCTTTGAATCCATTGAATCTTTTGAATCTTTTGAATCTTCCGAATCTTCCGAATCTTCCGAATCTTCCGAATCTTCCGAATCTTCCGAATCTTCCGAATCTTCCGAATCTTCCGAATCTTCCGAATCTTCCGAATTTTCCGAATCTTCCGAATCTTCCGAATCTTCCGAATCTTCCGAATCTTCCGAATCTTCCGAATCTTCCGAATCTTCCGAATCTTCCGAATCTTCCGAATCTTCTGAATCTTCCGAATCTTCCGAATCTTCTGAATCTTCTGAATCGTCTGAATCTTCTGAATCTTTTGGATCGTTTGAATTTTTAGTTTTGAATCTTTTGCGTCTGAATCTCTTGAATCTCTTAAATATCTCAAACCTCTCGAATCTTTCGAATCCGCTAGAATCTTCTAAACCTTTTGATTCTTCTGAATCTTCTGAATCTTCTGAGTCTTCTGAGTCTTCTGAGTCTTTTGAGTCTTCTGAGTCTTCTGAGTCTTCTGAGTCTTCTGAGTCTTCTGAGTCTTCTGAGTCTTCTGAGTCTTCTGAGTCTTCCGAGTCTTCTGAGTCTTCTGAGTCGTCTGAGTCGTCTGAGTCTTCTGAGTCTTCTGAGTCTTCTGAATCTGCTGAATGTTCTGAATCTTCTGAATCCACTTAATCTTCTGAACCGTCTGATTCTTCTGAACCTTCTGAGTCACCTTCCGAATCATCTCCTGAATCTTCTGAATATTTTGAATCTCTTGACTCTCTTGAATCTCTTGAATCTCGAATTATTTGAATCTTTTGCATTATTTGAATCTATTGAATCTTTTGAATCTTTTGAATCTTTTGAATCTTTTGAATCTTTTGAATCTTTTGAATCTTTTGAATCTTTTGATTCTTTTGAATCTTTTGATTCTTTTGAATCTTTTGAATCTTTTGATTCTTTTGAATCTTTTGAATCTTTTGAATCTGTTGAATCTTTTGAATCTTTTGAATCTCTTGAATCTCTTGAATCTCATGAATCTCTTGAATCTCTTGAATCCCTTGAATCTCTTGAACCTCTTGAATCTCTTGGATCTCTTGAATCTTGAATCTTGAATCCCTTGAATCTCTTTTGAATCTTTTGAATCTTTTGAATCTTTTGAATCTTTTGAATCTTTTGAATCTTTTGAATCTTTTGAATCTTTTGAATCTTTTGAATCTTTTGAATCTTTTGAATCTTTTGAATCTTTTGAATCTTTTGAATCTTTTGAATCTTTTGAATCTTTTGAATCTTTTGGATCGTTTGAATTTTTAGTTTTGAATCTTTTGCGTCTGAATCTCTTGAATCTCTTAAATCTCTCAAACCTCCCGAATCTTTCGAATCCGCTAGGATCTTCTAAACCTTTTGATTCTTCGGAATCTTCGAAATCTTCGGAATCTTCGGAATATTCTGAATCTTCTGAATCTTCCGAATCCTCCGAATACTGTGAATCTTCCGTATCCTCTGAATCTGCCAAATCGTCGGAAACCTGAATCTTCGGAATCTTCTGAACCTTATGAATCTTGGGACTCCTCGGAAGTTTTTGAATCTTCGGAATCTTCCGAATCTTAATCCTCTTGAAATTCTCGAAGTTTTTGAACCTCTTGAGCTTCATGAAGCTGTTGAACCCCTTGAATCTTTTGCATCTTGAAATTACCTCAAGTTCCCTTCAAATTTCCTTTTTACTTTTTCACCTACCGAGACGAAAATAGTGTAGTTCCCTCAGCAACAAATCTTTCTTGCTTACTTCTTTTCAATTTTGTATATCGCGAGGAAAAATGGCGAAAAAGGAGAGCAGGTTACTTTCCATCGGAACGTTTTCGTGGCTTTACTTGTTTTCCAGAGGCACTTACTTTGAACTGAAAATTAATTTACTACAAACGTTGTTCTGAGTTGGTTTTGCATGGTTTAGGTGGCATGCAGGCGCCCAATGTTTCCAACACCCAAAGGCATGCGCTCAAAGTGAAATATGACAAAACACAAACATATTTCGTATCGCTGGAAGCAAATTGTTTATTAGAAACTTTCATATTTGCCAGGGAACAGTTCAAACGTGCCTAATTAAACGAAAGTCTCTTACTCGTCTTTGATGTACGATACTTTCGTCGTTAGCGATCCAACGCTGCAGATAAATATCCGCTCGATCAGAGAGTGGAAAAAGTAATGCTCGTTCGGTTCGATATATCATTGGTAGGGTGATTTATTATTCATACAACGAAAAAGCATCGTAACCTTTGATTCCTTCTCTTCTACCTTACCTATACGGATATTGTTCTCGCAATCCACTTAATTTCGAAAATCAGGTCTCTCGGATATAAAGGGAAAAAGAAACAGCACCAAAACGACGACGATCATTAGATATATTCGCCATTCTCTTTAATGGGACGACCGGAATATCATTTAGCATGTGAAATGGTTCTCGCTGGCAAATGTAGATAGTGGGAATGCATGAAGACTCCGCGCGCTGAACGTCGATAATGTGGCTTTTTCCATATTTTATTCACGCTTTAGTTGGTCGACGTATTGACATGTAAAAATGTATGATCCGCGAATTTAATGAGCCGAGAGAGTGCAGAACCTTTCATTATCTCTTTTGTCTTTTTTGTTCCCACGTTTATTTAGACGCTACAAATCATTAAGGGGCGGCGATGTTCTTGAGTAACCGCATATTTAGACGTTACGAACCTTTACGGAAATGCAAGTGGAGACACGCACGTTAGCGCATCAGAAACGTCTGACGCATTGGCGCCATTTTTGCTTTTTGGAATACAACGGCAGGGCGCAAAATTAACTAATTTCACCCTCACCTGAACGGACTGCGCGAATATGAATATCACATTAAACGCTTTTTTCCACGACGAAAAGATGTTTAATTAGTTCGAACATTGCGAGGTGCGAAATTCGCGCATGTTCCACTCGTGTCGGGGGGGTGTGGGGACTTTTAATTTCGCGTCGGCTTATGAAGACCGGGAAATGGCGCCGCTCAAAAGTTGATTTAGTGAGCTTACGTCGCTTTTTAAAATTTACTTGAGTGTAATGGATTTGTTGTGTAGTGTGATTATCGAGGCATACGAGCATTTCGTATATATATACTTCGAAAGTAAAACTCGGATTAAATGTAAAGTGGTATAAATTCGGTGTAAAATAGACTCCGAGGAAGTTTTATTACTCTTTGTACCGCCTTTTAAAACTTTCTTCGAATTTGTTCCGGCGTTCACTCAAAGTATACGCTCACAGCTGACAGCTGCATAAGTTCGTTCCTGTATGAGTGCATGTAAATGTAAAATCGCATTGTTCGTATTCCCCTCCTTTACTATTTATTTTCAGTAGTTACGTAAGGTGCTTTTCAACGGTTCACCTTCTTTTTCTGATTATTTGCGTCTTGAGGCGTCGTCAAAAGTTTTCACTCTTCACCGACTGCATCTCGAGAATTAATTCGAACTTTAGCGTTTATTTACTCTACTATTTGCTTAGGGGTGCAATCTTTGTTTGTCCGTTTATAGAAGTAGATTTCTGTTTTTTTGGTACAGTTTGTTTCAGAGGAGGTATTTCTGAGCAGAACTCAGCATTTCAATGGCGAAGTTAAACTCAAAGCAAGGTATCAATGGACCATGGTGAATGGTGGGAGGCGCCAGTTCTTTCTCTCTCTATCCTTTTTCGTATGGATAACGCTTCTTCCAATTTTACGATCCGAAGGCGAGTTCGGCATAAATCGTGTTTTATACCTGTATTCGAAACGTACGTTCTGATGACTTTTTAAAAACGAAACAGGAGTGGCCCAAATTATGGCCCAGAAGAATCTTGAAGGCTTTTAGAGACATACAATTTTTAAAAATCGAACTTTTAAGGCTTAATCGATACTTTAAACGATCTACAATAACATAGAAGCTTCCCAGGGATGCTCAAACGCATTGCAGGGACGGCTCTTAAGTACTCTTAAGAACTCTCAAATCTCTAGAACCTCTTGGAGAACCTCTTACAGCCTTGAACATTTTTTTAAAGGTTCCTAAAGGCTCTTACAGGATGTGTTAATACTTCTGTAAGCTTTGCGTTCGTCAAGGTTTAATTTTGAAAATTTTAAATGACTGTTAAATGTTCTAAAGGTTACTTAAAATTTTTTCAAATTTTTAGAGATTTCTGAGGTTCTCAAAAATTAATAATCACTTTTCAAAAAGTTTAATTTTGAAAACTTTAAATGACTTAAAAGTTCTAAAGGTCACTTAACATTTTTTCAAATTTTTGGAGATTTCTGAGATTCTCAAAAATTAATAACCACTTTTCAAAAAGTTTAATTTTGAAAACTTCAAATGATTGATAAAAGTTCTAAAGGTCACTTAACATTTTTTCAAATTTTTGGAGATTTCTAAGGTCCTCAAAAATTAATGATCACTTTTGAAGGGTCGGTCGTTAAAGGTTCTTAGTTTATTGTAGTTTAGAACTTTCCTATAACCTTAAAGATCTATCGCAACCCGTTCAAGGCCCCTAAAGGCTCACAAAACCTTCTAAAAGGTGAGCTCTTAAAAACTAATAAAGGTTCCACTGTCTTTAAAACAATCCATCAGCCCCATATAGATCCGCAAAGGCTCTTAAAAACCAAAAATCTAGTGAAGATTCTATGAATATGAAGACAATCGGAGTCCCTTGAAAACCCTTGGAAGCTTGAAAAACCACTTTAGGATCTTTAAAACTCACTAAAGCTTTTCAAGTGCTTTCGGTTTTGGAAGCCTTTTAGAAAATGCGATGAATCTTTCGAATTTTTCGAATCTTTTGAACCTTTCGAATTCTTCGAATCTTTCTAATCCTTCGATTCTTTCGAATCGAATCTTTCGAATCTCTCGAATCTTTCGAATCTTGTGAATCCTATAAATCTTTTGAATTTTTTGAATCTTTTCAGTCTTTCGAATCTCTCGAGTCTCTCGAATATCTCTCAAACCTCTTCTGAATCTTCTGAATTTTCCGAATCTTTCGAACCTTCCGAATCTTCCGAATCTTCTGAATCTTCTGAATCATCTGAATCTTCCGAATCTTCTGAATCTTATGAATTTTTTGGATCCTTTAAATCTTTTAAATCTTTTCAATCTATTGAATCCTTTGAATCTTTTGAATCTTGTGAATCTTTTTAATCTTTTGAATCTTTTGCATCTTTTGCATCTTTTGAATCTTTTGAATCTTTTGAATCTTTTGCATCTTTTGCATCTTTTGCATCTTTTGCATCTTTTGAATCTTTTGAATCTTTTGAATCTTTTGAGTCTTTTGAATCTTTTGAATCTTTGGAATCTTTTGAATCTTTGGAATCTTTTGAATCTTTTGAATCTTTTGAATCTTTTGAATCTTTGGAATCTTTTGAATCTTTTGAATCTTTTGAATCTTTTGAATCTTTTGAATCTTTTGAATCTTTTGAATCTTTTGAATCTGTTGAATCTGTTGAATCTTTTGAATCTTTTGAATCTTTTGAATCTTTTGATTCTTTCGAATCTTTTCAATCTTTCGAATTTCTCGAATCTCTTGAATCTCTCGAATCTCTTGAACCTCTGGAATCTCTCGAGTCGCTTGAATATCTCGATTTTCTTGAATTTCTCGAACCTCTTTTGAATCTTCTGAATTTTCTGAATTTCCTGAATCTTCCTAATCTTTTGAATCTTTTGATTCTGAATCATCTTCTGAATCTTTTGAATCTTCTGAATAAACTTCTGAATCTTCTGAGTCTTCTGAATCTTCTGGATCTTATGAATCTTCTGAATCTACCGAATCTTCCGAATCTTCTGAATCTTCCGAATCTTCTGAATCTTCTGAATATTGTGAATGTTTTGAATCTTTTGAATCTTTTGAATTTTTTTGAATCTTTTGAATCTTTTGAATTTTTGAATCTTTTGAATCTTCTGAATCTTTCGAACCTTTTCAATCTTTAAATCTCTCGAATATCTCGAATTTCTTGAATCTCTCGAATCTCTCGAACCTCTCTAATCCCCTCTAAATCTTCTGAATTTTCTGAATTTTCCGAATCTTCCGAATCTTCTGAATCGGAGTTCCTTGAAAACTTTTGGAAGCTTCAAAAACCACTTGAGGATCTTGAAAACTCACTAAAGCTCTTCCAGTGCTTTCGGTTTTCGAACCTTTCTATAAAATAGGGTCCCTAACGAATCTTAAAACTGAACGGTTCTCAAGGCACCTTGGAAACCTTTGAAAACTTCTCAATGACTACCAAATACCTTTACGGTGGATCATTAAATTTACTTAAATGCCCCCCTCCCTACAAACGTTCAGAACCCAAAGCGATTTTACTCTCCGGAGGCCCGATGGAGCGTTTAAAGTCTTCACTGCATCCAAAACACAGTCCTTTTTTAATACGAACAGCCCAATGCTGGTAACGTATACAGAAAAATATATCAAAAAACTGCAATACCAAAATCAGACTCAAATCAAATTAATTCAAACTTACGCACACCTTTAATAAATGGGTTTCGGATTGCGACATAGGTAAAAAAAAAGATTACTTAGGCACCTAATTTAATTATAATATATGGCATAAACTCAAAAGAAACGTGTTGTCCTATAAAAATAGCTTCACCTAAAGAGGATACAGCCACGTCTCATTCGCTTAACGACGCTTAGATC